AGAGTTCTGGCCATTAGATGTAGCTCGTCTGTGTTGGGACATTCTTTTGAACAGTGGCTGCTTTGTTTCCCCGATGTATAACTGGTCGCAGTCGCCAGGAGGACTTAACTTTTTTTTATGTACACAAAAAAGGCAACTATTTAGCTACTGTTTTGTTTTTTGTTTTTTTGGATAGAACAAAGTGCACAAACTGTTAACTCGTATAAATGCAACATGTAAGTCAGTATAAACAATTTGTTAATAATTACACTCATGTAACCTAATCTTAAAGACAAAACATTACAACAAATAAAGAAAAACGTGATTTTTCTGGTGACAAGCTCTCTAAACTGAATAATAAATGCCCTCCTCAAAGCTTTTGTGCTTTGGCCCCAAAACGCACAATCTTTTCAAGGAGAACAGGAAGTGGGTGCATCAAAGCGAGGTGATCAGAGTGTGTGTGTGTGTGTGTGTGAGAAGAATGAGATGCACACACACTCAAACACCACCTCTACACACGCCTGCTTCCCTTTGTGTTTGTGGCTTACTTGCAGCCATTAAAAACAGAGAAGTGCRACTCAAAGTGCCTCTTCAATTTCCTTATTAGGTCTTATTTCTAGCTCCTTCGTGTATATACAGGGTGAGTAAAAAGACAAAGGACACCCTTTTATTTCCATCCAATATGGCGGCTTTTGAGATGGTGGYCATGCTCTGGACTTAGTCKAAAAGATAGACCCCCTCACCCATTACTTTTATCAGATATGTAATTTTCCCTTTTCTTTCTTAAATAAAYGGGTGTCCTGCAATTTTTGACTCGCCCCGTACTTTCTGCTTTTGACTGTCAACCCTCTACCTTCAGAGTGACAGTCTTTCTTTTCCTGGCATCTCTTTGTCCTCTAAAACCTTTCAAAATCCCAACAAAAGGGAATGACAACAGCAGCTGCCTTTGACTGTGCTTTTATAAGCTGATACAAAAAGCAACCAGCCATACACACAGTAAGTATGACTCTTTATCTGCTGAAATAGAAAAGCCATTGCTGGCAGTTCCAGATCAATAATGGAGTGTATTCATCACGTGCAGCCAGGCACAACCAGCTAATGGAATCTGTTGTCTATACTCCATCTTAAGCTCCACGCTGCTTCCTCACGWCTTCCAGTCTTCATTTGTCTGTTTACAACACGATGGTTCACAGTACGACTTTTTAACGAGYCAACAAACGTTTWATTAAGTCTTTAGTTTTGGTTGCTAAAGCCAAAACTCAAATAAATGAYTGAATAACTCCACTGAGACACGTTCAGTACAACCTAAATGTTTGTAAAGTTGGGATCGATTGCAGGCAAGACTGCAGATATGTGCATTTACATCATTATTGTATACATTAAGCCAAAAATAATCCTGAAGCAACCATTAAACGATGTAGTAATTGGGTTAAGAAGCAGAAATTTTCCAATCAAAAACGTTTAAAAATGTATACATTGACTAACTCAGTTGATTAAAACCAAAYCTAGCTTTGTTGCACATTTACAAATCTGAGGTGGTTTTCCTCAGCTAAAATAATGCATGCAGTGCAGTTCGTTATGCAGTGGGAACAGACAGGCAGTGTAGTATAAAGTACCTCAAAGTGATACTTGAGTAAAAGTACAAGTATCTTATCATGAAATTACTTTGGTACAAGTCTCCTCCAAGAATATTACTTGAGTAAAA